TCATTTTATGTCACACAGTTTCTATAACATTGAGGTCCGGACTACTTGCAGGATGGGATAGAGCTTTTATCTTATTATTACCGAACCAATTTTTAGTTGATTTTGCTGAACGGCACGATGCTCCATCTTGTTGGAAAATATAGTCTTCGTTTGGAAACAATTCTTGAGCACTAGGCAAAAGTGAGGTCCCAAGTATATGTTGATATTTTTGGGCGTTAACAGTGCCATCTATAAAATTTAATTTGCTCAAACCTCTTGCTGACATACAGCCCCAAACCATAACCCCTTAGGAAATTTAACAACCCTCTTTAAGCAATCTTTATGAAAGGCTTCTGCTTTATTTCGTATTATTCGTTTTCGATGATTTCCAACGCTAACATCAAATTTACACTCATCGCTAAATATGACCTTATTCCAATCATTTTGTGTCCACGATAATTTAGATTTTGCCCAATTGTAGCGATTTTTCTTTTGAATTTCTGTCAGTGGCGGTTTTTCTTTGGCCTAAATAAGAATTTGTATCAATAATCTTCAGGTAATTGATTATCCACACAAAATAAAGTTTACCTTGTAAAACCTCAGACCGCATTTATGGATATATTTTCGGCAACATTCTCTTGATATATTTAAACTAGTTACAGTATTCCATTTAACTGTTACTTCGCGGGTAGAGTACTTGCAAATTTTTACTAAATTTCGTAAATCTCTCTGAGATACAACTTTTGGCCTTCCCGAACTTTTACCTCTAACGTCTACATTAGCAGATTCGCCGTATTTTTTTATTATATTAAAGACCGTGGTTTTTGGAATACTTAAATCATTAGAAATTTTTCGAATTGTTTTTCCCGTACTGTATTGATGAATGATAATTTCGCGTAGTTTTTGATTTGTAGCTTTTCCACGGACCATAACTTTGAATTAAATTAACAAAATTGAAAATTAAAAAAATTAAAATTACTCACAGTAATTCTGACTACTCAAAGTATCGAGTCACTTACAAGCTGTCAATGCTGAAGTAAACAGTTTGCGACATTTGTGACGTTTATAGCAAAGCTGCCTATAATGATATTAATTATTTAAAAATACTTGTCCCAACATTTAGTTGTCAGCAAATTTGTCCTTTTAGGAACAAAATCCGCTACTGTAAATATAGATTGATTTACAAATTCATAGAAATATTGTCAAGTTGTTTAGAATATATGGCTATGTTTGTATTTAAAAAATTAAACATATATGTTTCAGTCATTTTGAAAAACCAGAGCAATAATTCCAAAATATGAACTTGTCCCAACATATAGTTGTTAGGGCTCATATACGAAACGGTCTGCTAGAAAATACGTACTCTTTACTAAAGTTTGATGTCTCTAAAAATAAAAAAAAATAGTTTTAATATGTGTTATTGTGCTTTGTCCAATTTAACAATTTTAATTCTGTAGGAATCTACGTTCAAGGTAAGACTTTTTATTTTGACATTTTATCTTTTTAATTTTAACTGACTGTTTTTTATGTACTTAAAGAGACTTGAAAAAGACATATACTGTCGAAACGTTGTCATAAAAATTAAATAATGAACAAAATTAATTGACCTAAAGCCAAGAATAACGACCCAACGACCTAAAGCCAAGAATAAAAAGAAAAAAATAAAGTAGAAATATACCGAGAATGTCATTTAAAAATCAAAAGTTGTAATCATTTCCGGTAAAACAGGAAGTGACCAAAACAATTGAATACGTCAATCAATCCTAATTTATGTCATATACTAATATACCAAATCTCGTTTTTTTATCTAAAAAAATAAAAAAGTTGTAGGGGTAAGCCACTTTTGAGACACCCGGTATATTCTATGGTATATTCCCGGTATATTCTATGGCATTATTACATGTGTGTTTCCAATGTGGTGGCACTACCCGTTTCCTGAAATGTTTCGATGCGGAATCAAAACTTTTAGAGGAAACGTTTCGAAACATTTTCTGCAATTTGTGTCCAAAATGTTCCCGTTTTCAGCAGCCACTGTTTTTAAATGTGAAGAAACAAAATACCAATCTAAAATAGTCTATGTATGTGTGCGGATTTCGAAATGAAAACAACCATCGACAATGTCTACCTCCGCCATAATTTTTTTGTCTTAAAATCTTTGTTTTTCGGTTTTCTCGCAAAAAAATCATTTGCATCGTTTAATTTAATATTGTACTTTTATATTTTTAATGCCCCTTCTATATATCATCATTTGTTGCTACAGAATATTTTTGTTTGAAATATAGATTTTTATTTGTATTTCTATATCAAGGTTCTGAAAATAAAAATATATAAATCAATGTAATTAGAACGCGTTCTTATCAGTTTAGAAGCTCAACAGCCGATGAAACATATATTTTTAGTTAAAAACGCTATCACTAGCGAATATGGCAGAATTTAAATTTATTATTTTTTAAAATTGACATGGAGTCGGACACAAATCATCGAGATTATTTCATATTGTGTCTAAAAAGAGAGAAACTCGTGTTTAAAAAATGAATCGACCACAGTAAATGGAAACCTTGTTTCCAAAAAGTTTCGATTTAGCGCTATCTGTGTAGAAATTTCGAACTACCCAAGCAGCATTTGGACGTCGGGACAACGTTGTGTCACGCGACCAAACGTCGTGGCGCAACGTCGGCACAACCTCGTGCCAACCCTAGTCTGCACTAGTTTGGAGAATAATTTTTCGGTTGAAACGACGTTGGATACCGACGTTGGCTAGAAGCCTAATTTAGTACAAACTGCAACGTTGTTTAAAATCCTAAACCCTCAGAAATACAAAACTAATATGGCGTCTAAGTCGCGTTTTATCCTAAATCTGGATAATTACAGTAAAAATATTTTTTATGATTTAGTTAGAGACATATGTCAGATGGCAGTGAAGGAAAACAAAACAAAAAGTATTAAGTGTGGAGGATGCTCCTTTGAAGATCATAATTATTTGCTTTTTCTTTAACCGACTCTATCCCTCGTTACCCAAGGCAAAAAAGTTAAAGGACTTTGTTTTCTTTTGCCTAATCTATTCAGCTTCTCCAAACAACTTTATTGAGAAATGTATTGTTTCTACTTTGAAAAATACTAATGGGCCTTAAAATTAAAAAAATTTTTAAAAATTTTCTTGAATTTTTTTAGTAAAATGAGAATAATAATTTATTCGCAGTCGAAAAAATTGTTTCCGCGTGTCTGGAAGGGTCCAAATATTTCAAGTTATTAATGTCTTTCAAAAAAGCAGGGCAAGCTATTTTAAGAACGAAACATTTTCTTATTTAATAACATGGCGGCTTTCACTTTGTTGTTTTGGAATTAAGATGGAGTAGTTCGAGTATATCGTCAATACTGGACTAATAAAGTCGCAGTTCGGCGCTTAACAGGGTGTATACAAGCCCCTGATCTGCCTAATTTAGTCATCCTAGAGTCTAGCTTGTGCCGCCCTCTATAATCTAAATAAACGAGGGAGTGGATAAACTATCAGTAATATATATCGATGTATATTTAAATTTAGTTTTATATGTACCTTTCTTATGTTGGACAGGTTCTCATGGCTCCTGTGATGCAAACATATGCTAGTCTCTCTGGACTTTGAACAGTACTGAACTGTCTGACTGAACAGAACAATGAAAATTTAAGATTTAAGGTTATGGTTCAATACAGTTGCAAAAAGGTAGTGACTCGACGTCCTACCAACGTAAGAATAAGGAAATATAAACAACGATTGGAATTAGTAAAAAAAATTTGCATAACGTTGGAATAGGTCCTAAAAGAATGAATCGATCAGTAAACTCTATTATTGTTCAACGTTGACTTAACTACGTTGTCAGATCACCTAGAAAGATCGAACTTCAGCAGAAAAAAGGTTACAAGACAACGTTTATTCGACGTCGCCAAACTTTGCTGTAGTACTAATCCAACGTCGACACAACCTATAAAACACCAAATTTATTTTTGCCAAGGTTGGGGAGCTAATTTTTTTGTAACTAAACAACGTTGTGTTTAGTAAACATGTGGTCGCAAGTCGTGAAAATGCTACTTGGGTAGTCACCTGTTAACAACGCCAATCATAACTTCTGCTCAAAATAATTAAAAACTAATATGGCGTCTAAGTCGCGTTTTATCCTAAATTTGGATAATTACAGTAAAAATATTATTTTTATGATTTAGTTAGAGACATATGTATAATACAATTAAAACATAAAAAATTTTCGGTCTTCTGTTAGGTGTGACGGGTAGTGTGGCTGTTATTACATTTATTCCGAAAACAAATCATCTCTGCAATGCGTATAATAAATAATTATAAAATCGCATAAGAAAAATATCTGTATTTCTACTCACCATTTGTCCTTCCTTCTGCTTTTTTAATTATAAACCCTAAACACTTGAAGAATGCTTAAATGCAAAAACAGCAGAACAAAATCCAAACAATAAAGTAAGGTTCTGTTCTCATATTTGACAAATATTTCCGCGTGTTTTTTAGGGTCAAACTTTTCAAGGCACAAATTCAAAAAGCAGGAAATCTGTAAGATGTGAGCCACATTTTCTTAAAAGTTTAACAATTGGCGGCACTAAGATCTTGAGTGTTACAGCTTAGATAGCGAAGTAGTTTTTTGTAAAATGTTTCGAAATAAAGTCGCAGTTCGGCCTTACAAAGGTAGTATGTATAAAAATGTGATTGCCTTGTTTCGCAGTGTTTCTCAGCAGAGAGCATGTGCCGCCTCTATAATCTAAATAAACGAGGGAGTGGATAAATTATCGGTAATATATATCTGATGTATATTTAAATTTTAGTTTTATATGTACCTTTCTTATGTCCCTTGTTTCGATTTTGTGTCTAAAAATGCGACTTGGGATATATCCGGTATTTTCATCAATAGATAGCAAATAAAAGTACGAAATTAATATTATCTTTTAAAATAACGCTAAACAAATAGTTATTCTCAATTTATCTAGCATATCGATAAATCTCCCTAATCTATTATTGTTTTTAGATTTATGTGAAGACCAGAGAGAAAATTATACGATAGTATCTCCAATCTTACCTCAAGTGGCATCGTTGTGTCTTAACAACTCACCAATTAGTGAACCCGAATCGGCTATCGAAGTCATTAGACAAAAATGCTTAGATGATTTATTCAACTGACAATTATTAAACATGTTATACCCCTAAAAATTTAAGGGGATTGTAAATGTTTGCTTAAATTCAAGCTTCAATAATTAAAAAAATATTGGTTGTGGCTCAATACCGAAAAGATCATTTCATAGCCTTCCAAACAAACTTGAAGGTATAAGCCTTAAAAGAAATTACTACAGTTATTGATTCTGAATCGCCCCCTTGTCTTCCTCATTTATACTAGAGATGAGCAAAACTGCGTTTCTCCAATCTCCAATCGCAATTGAAACTGCGATTGCGATTTTTAAATCGCTGCGAGTCTAACCTCAGATTGCGATTTTAATATTTAAATATTGTACTAGCTATATAATTGTCTGTGTATGTACCTATAACTTAACAATTAAAGAAGTTAATAAAAATCAGTTGTATAGTTATTAAGTTTTTTTTTTGACATCTGCAACACATCGTATGGGTAACACAAATTTTATAACATAGATAAACGAAACAAGTTTAGATTGGAAAGTGCCCATAAGGACAATGTAAACACTATTTGGCGCTAATCTAGCAACGGTCGCGACCCAAAACTTTTGAAAATTTCGGAGCGGTTCGGCTTTTTCCGGAATTATATCGCCAAATATTGTTTATTCAAAGTATTATTATTTTCGTTTCTTTTATAAATAAAAGACTGTGTGTTGCATACAAAAAACTTTATTTTTTATATAAGGACGCATATCGTATGAAATACCTAATCTATTATTGTTTTTAGATTTATGTGAAGACCAGAGAAAAATTATACGATAGTATCTCAATCTTACCTCAAGTGGCATCGTTGTGTCTTAACAACTCCAATTATTAAACATGTTATACCCCAAAATTTAAAGGGATTGTAAATGTTTGTTTAAATTCAAGCTTCAATAATTAATATTGAAACCGACGTTATGGCTCGATCCACGATGGTTTTGCAGTTCACAGTTCACAGCACAACTTTTAAGGTTTTAATGCACTTTTTCACAATTATCACCGGTTGGAGTAAATAAAACTTGAATTAAACTCACAAGATACTAATTATTACTTTGAAAATGGACGTTTATAAACACTTTTCGGAATTTCTTTAATGAGAGCGGTTTAGATTTTAAAAAGAATATTATGATTTTTGAAGATTCTGACTTTGACATTTAAATTATTTTTGTTTTTGTTTGCCGTTGTTCTTAGCGACCGCTATAGCAGCGCCAGATCGCGTATAACGGTCGCGACCCAAAATAATTTCGCGACCTAAAATTTTTACGGGCTTTCCAATCTAAACTTGTTGCATTTATCTATGTTTTATAATATGCTGCAACTGCTGCAAACTACACCAACCTTGTCGCCCAGGACACCATAAAATAATAAATACAAGAAGAAGTGTCAAGTCAATGTTAAATTATGGAAACAGCGTGGCTGCCTGGGTAACTAATTTTCAGATATGGCGGTTGGGACATTTGACATGACATAGACATGACAATTTCAATTTTATGAAATTTATTTCCGTTTCCGGTTTTTAATGGCGGGCTGTTCAGGAGGTTTAAATGAGGGTTAATATACTTTTTACTCTTTCTAGTAGTAAATAATACAACAAAATTACTCAAAAATATTTATTTGGAATTTAGAACAATGTAAATATGCAAATCAACACAATTAAAGAGCTATAAACCAATAAACTACTGTATCAATATTAAATATTTAAATAATATCAGAGATGCTGTGTTAAAGCGAATTAGTAAAGTAACAGTGCATTGACTTACAGAAACTTGAAGATAAATAAATGTTTTCACAGCTTCACGGATAAATAACTGGAAGCAGGAAAAAGGCAACCGGAACCCACACAAAACCTGGAATCAAAAAAAATATGTAAAAAATATAAATATAGGTACCTACATAAGACTTTTGTGAATTAAATCAAACAGGACTTGAATGAAAATAAAATGAATAAAAAATATGATACATATACATCTAATACCTCATTTGTATTTTAAAAATAATCTACATACATAGATTTATAGCATTATTGCTATGAAAATACATAATAGGTACCTATGTGATATGTAATTACGCATTTCTGTTCATCTTGTAGAAATTTAACGTAGGCTAATAATAGTTCAATAATCATAATTTACCTTGTATAACTTGCTTTCAATTGCTCAAAATCACCGATCAGTCTTTAAAGTAGAGATACGGAAAAATCCTTGAAAGAATATCCCAAGATCCTTGGGTTTAAAGCTAAAAAAATATAAAAACAGTTAATATATTACCTATTTTTACCTATAATATGGCCCATACCTGCTACACGCCGAAACGTCGATTTCATCATTTTCTTCATGTAATTAATATCATATATACTTTATTAAAGTGTTAACAAGGAACTTTATATCAAAAAACATCTTTGTACTTATAAATTTCAGCCGAAATATCAGAAACAAACTTCCAATCAAATCTAAACGGCAAAAATTAAAATGGCGCCCGACCTTGCCAGAGGCCTCGGAGCTGCCGCTGACTTACCACAGACAAAAGACAAAAGAACAGGACGCCGACGTGCATAAAAATGTTCCGTAGCAGAAATTGACAGAAATCATATAGAAATATTCAGATTTTTGTCTAGGACAGTCTAGAAGGCCATGCTTTCTGCCTGGGTAGAACCGCGCCACAACTGTTTCCAATTTTCCGGTTTACTGTCACCCCCCTGCAGGACATCATATGAAAAACAATATACAATTAAATATTTTTTCTAAGAATCCTTGATTAAAAATTAATGTTTTTAACACAGCCATCGCACTCTAGACTGAAATTTAAAATACGATTTTTTTACGTAAATATCACAAGTTAACATATGATAGGCCATTCTATTCAGAGTGTCGTTTTCTATCTAAAAAAGTAAAAAAAAATACCTAATAAAACAGATAAATATAATCGTTTCCGGTAAAACAGGAAGTGATCGAAACAAATTGAATACGTCAATCAATCCTAATTTATGTCACATGGTATAGTCTAAAAGGTCTAAGAACTAGCAACGTTTTCGAGAAAGTATTTTAAGAAAGCTGGCTCTTTGATATAACTTTTACTATGCTCTCTGGAACAGCATGCGGCCCGTCTGGCTGCCGATACCCGTTGCGTTCACTACTTCGCATCGGAAGAAGATACCAAACCTATATTTTTTTATTTATTTGGGGTTTATTCTTGAACGTTCAATATCTAAACAAGCTGTATATTTCAATATTATAATATTTATTTTAGAGTCTGACATGTACTAGTAATGTGGTTGTTTGTTTTTTAATACGTTATGTGTAATACTTAATTAAATTTTATAATGATTTTATATTGTTATGTGTATATGTATTTGGTAAGGTTTTTTTCTTTAAAGTGTTATTTAATTGTATTTTTAAAATTGAATTGTGTTTCTAGGTAATAATTATAATTTTCTGAAGAAGACCTAAGAATGGTCGAAACGTACGTAAGAAATAAAAACAACTTTTAATTACTATGTTTTAAATTACTGGCCTAAAACCAAGAATAAACCCCAAATAAATATACAAAAAGTCAAAGAAAAAATTAGATTTATAAATTTATTTTTTATTTAGTCCTATAAATTGTAGTATTGAATATAAAAAAACTATTTTTTACGCGTAACAAATGATTTTTCAAACGTAATAATTTGATTCACTTTTACAAAATTTGTATTAAAATATCAATAATAATACAATAAAAATAATAATATGTATTTTTTTTCATTTAATAGTTTTTTACACGTAAAAAATAGTTCTTTTTTCGTAGAAAATGTTTTTTTACCAGAAAGAATAGTTTTTTTGATTCACTTTTACAAAATTTGTATTAAAATATCAATATTTTTGATAAACACGTGGACGGCTTACAAATACACGTCGCGTCATGCGTCACTACGTATTTCTAAGCCGTTACCCCACGTTTCGTTAAAATTACGTTTTTTATGCTCAAAATGTTTTTTTACGCGTAACAAATACTTTTTTTACGTGTAACAAATAGTTTTTTACGTGTAGCAAATAGCTTTTACACGTAAAAAATGGTTTTTTACCAGAAACGAATAGTTTTTTACGCGAAAAAAATAGAATAGAATAGAATAATTTATTGATGTCAATACCATACAAATAGTGGCGTACATAAGTCAAAATATAAAATAAAATACATATATAAAACACAATTAACTTAAAAATTAACACAAAAGACATAAAGTTAAAACCATCATATTAGATGGGTATACAATGACAGTTATATATTCTAGTTGAAAAAAATATTTTTTTACGTGTATCAAATAGTTTTTTGCACGTATTAATTTGATTCACTTTTACAAAATTTGTATTAAAGTATCAATATTTTTGATAAACACGTGGACTGCTTATAAATACACGTCGCGTCACTACGTATTTCGTATTTCTAAGCCGTTACCACGTTCCGTTACAACTAGCTCGCGTATCAGGTCCGTCTCGTTAGCTCGTATATGTCACGGCCTTGATTTTTCTCCCAACACGCGTAAAGAAGTTTCACTTCGAAAAGTCTTATAAATCATGTCCTAAAATTGCACAAATAAGTCCAAGTAAGAATAAAAAAGTGTAATAAGAATTTTTGCCTTGACCCGGATTCGAACTCTGACTCCTCGCTTGATAGGCGGAAACTTTACGCGCTGGGCTATGGAGATTCGGTCGGTCTATATTCAATACTAGAATTTAAAGGACTAATAAAAATATAGGATCTTCTTTTAATGCGCAGTAGGGAACGCAATGTTTACTGGCAGCCAGACGGGCCGCATGCTGTTCCAGAGAGCATAGTAAACGATATATCAAAGAGCCAGCTTTCTTAAAATACTTGTTTTCTCGACGTTGCTAGCTCTCGTACTAGTATGTTAGATACCAAATCTCGTTTTTATAAAAAAAAATGAAAAAGTTGTAGTGATGTCATTTGGTATATGGGCGAACCACTTTTGGGAAACACTGGGTATATTATGATCTTGGTCCTAGAAAAATAATACCTTCTCTATAAATAAATAAAATCAAAGAAAAAATTCAATCGCAGTTTACTCAAAATGCTTCAACAGACCACAAAATTATATTCGCAACAAAATCGCAAACCGCAGCAAAATCGCAACTCGCAACAAAACCGCAACTTGCCACTATAGTAATATTGGTTGCCTAAGTTGAAACTCGCAAATAGAAGAATCACAGTCACAGTTTCCTGTGAGAGCCAATTGCAGATTGTGGTTGCGATTTTAAAATCGCTGCGATTGAAGCGCAGTTTGGGATTTGTTGCTCATCTTTAATTAATACACAACATATAAAAATTTGATACTATCTGATCTAGAAGATAAAAGTACAAGAGTTTATGGAGTATCATCAGTAAAAAGTACAAATATATTTTTTAGAAAATCTTTTAG